GAACATTTGCTGAAAAACAAGTATAATATCTAAGTCTCTACGCACTCCATATGCATCTGGGTATACTGTACTCATCAATAATAATTGATCATTTTGTTTTTAAAATCAAAATGTTAGCATTTTTAAATTGACTCATTCATTTACCCATTGAAACAATATACTCCACCTGTACCACAAACAAAGTCCTTTGCTAGATGAATAGAAAGGAAAACAATTAATGTGAACTTTGCCCTCATATAAGGTGCCTGCAGATATGTGTCTGGCAAACAGGAGCTGATATTGACTGAACTTGTCTTGCTTTTTTTTCTTTCTTTTTTTGGGGTATTGGGAATTGAACTCAGGGCCTTGTACTTGCCAGCCAGGTATGGCACCGCTGAGCTATATTCCCAGCCCTGACTGAACTTGTCTTTCAGCTCCCTTCTGCTCTCCCTGCCTTCTATCCCCATCACAAATGTTCTGTCCATCCCATTTGCCATTCTTTTGCTAGTCTCTCTGATTTCCTTGATCTTTTGACTTTCTGCTTCAGATACCTGGCCAAACCTGTCTACCTGGATGGATAAAACTGAAGGGCTGCTGGGGAACAAGAACAAGGATCCCAGGGTAGTGCATGCCAATGATACTATAGATTCATGGGTCCCACCCACCCGGGTGGATCCTCAGTATAACCTCTAATCTTGCTGTTTCTCTTCTTTCTTCCCTCTCTCTCTCTCTCTGTCTCTCTCTCCCTCCCTCCTTCTCTCTCCCTCTCCGCTCCCGCCCTCTCTTTTTCTCATGCTCTAAGGCACCCATTTTTAATATTCTCCACACTCCTGCGTCCCCCAAACCTCCCACCTCCTTCTGCATCTCAGTAAATAGTCTTGATTCCCACAAATGAACTACAGGTCACCTGATGAGAACTCTCTCCAACTCCTTCGATCAAGTTTAACCACCCATTAAGAGTCTGAAAGCCCTCCCCTCCTCTTTTGTTACCATGAAGGCCAATTTCACAACCTGTGCACTGGACCTACAGGTTTTGACATGAGCTTATCCATGACCCCTTTTCTTCTGCATCTCTAGACTCTTCCTCTCTCTTGACTCTTTCCTATCAATACTTGGGTGATCAGCTATACCATCTATTTTTTTAAATTTTTAATTCCTGTTAGTCCATGTTTGCAGTACATACTGATTACATTCATCATGGAGAGTTGATGCCTGCACCTGACACATCTCAAGTCTTCTTTCATTCCCATCCCTTCCTGTCTCCTTTCCCTTCTCTCTCTTGGTCTCCTTCCCTTTTGCAAAAGATCTACCTCCCTATTTCCTATTATCTATCATTTATTTTGCTCTTTATTTAGATTTTGGGTTTCTCACATAAGATGAACCAAGCAATATATACGCTAGTGTGTCTCATTTATTTCATTTAACATTATGGTCTCTAGGTGCATCCATTTTCCTACAAATGACTCATTTACCCTCCCTTATGGCAGAGTAGTACTCCATTGAGTGTAAACACCATTTTCCTTACCTATTCATCTGTTGATGGACATATTGGCTGCTTCCAAGACTTAGCTGTTATGAATTGTGCTGTTATAAACATGAGCATGAATCTATCACTGCAATACGATGTCTTTAACTCCTTTGGAAGATACCTACAAGGGGAACAGCTGGCTCAAATGGAATTTCTATTTTCAGCTTTTGGAGGCATCTCCCTACTGATTTCCAAATCATTGTACTAGTTTACACTCCCCCCAACAATGCAGGATTCCTTTATCCCCACACCCTGACCAGCATTTATTATTTGATTTCTTGATGATGGCTATTCTTCCTGGAGTAAAGTGGAATCTCACTGTTTTAATTTGCATTTCTCGAATGG